ATTTTACCTATGAAATCAGTGTTATACAGTGCACAGGTTAAATTACTGAATATTGTCTACATACCACACATATTTGTTAGCCAGGATTATTGGGGGATACTTGTGTTATTGTATCAAAGTAACTGTCAGAATCCTAGCCATAGTTAGAAGTAGTATATTTGACTCATGTTTTATCTTGAAATTTTTAGTTAGCATCTCTATTCTACTTCCAGTCCCTTATTTTTATGTAAAAGCATTTTTTTTTTTCTGAGAATGAAAAACTCAGTGCCAGTTTGAAAGAATAATATTTTCTAAGGACCTGTTTACTGTCTTAGGTGACTGCACAGAACTAATGCAGCTGACACACCCTGGGACTCCCCTGTAACCCAGGTAGATCCACAGAGTCATTCTCACTGGGTCTCAGAATCAATTGATGCTGGAAATTATGAAGGCAGTAGTTGCTGTGTTTGTGAATTCACTGCTGCAGTTCTTAGCAGCACAGCAGTAAAACTGCTCTGCCCAGTTCAGGAGAGATGGGAAACTACTGGAGGGAGTCCAAGGAAGGGCTACAAGGACGATTAGGGAACTGGAGCAACTCTGTGACAAGGAAATTCTGAGACCTGAGTCTTTTAACCTGGAGAAGAGAAGACTGAGAGGGTATCTTACGAATGTTTATAAATATCTAAAGGGCAGGTGTCAAGAGGACGGGGCCAGTCTCTTTTCAGTATTGTGCAGTGAAAGGATAAGGAGCGATAAACACAAACTGGAACACAGAAAGTTCCACCTACACATAAGGAAAGCTTCTTTACTGTGAGTGACAGCACTGGAACAGGCTGCTTAGAGAGGTTGTGGACTCTCCTCCTTTGGACACTTTCAAAGCCCACCTGGACATGTTACTGTGCACCTTGCTCTAAGTGAACCTGCTTTGGTGGAGGCATGGGGGTAGACTAAATGATCTCCCGAAGTCCCTTCCTAGCCCCTTACCATTCTGTGATTCTGTAATTGTGAAAAATTAGCAGAACCGGAAATGACTTTATTTTTAATTATTAACGTTCAGTGGTGATTGAGGACTTTGGTGCAAGTCCAGGTCTGCCAAAAGTGCTTTTCAAAATCTGGAATGTGATTCAAAGTGCCTTTCAAAATCTGGAATGTGATTCAAAAGACCCACTCCTAGAGGTTTTTTCTTGTACCTCTAATAGTTGTCTTTTTCCTGATGCCTTCATTCGAATTGTGGCCATTCGTTCTGCCAGCACTGTGAGAGTGGACTGCAATGCCAACTGATCTGCAGCTTCTGCATCCAGTGGTTCTGAAACCAGCTCCTGGGCTAACGAGGTCTGAAGCTCAGAGATTTCTTCTTGTAACATTAAAATCTCATCCATCAAAGCCTATTTAGAAATGAGAGCAAAGAAAGTATTTGTTTCATTTATCTGTGAGAAGAAAGTCTCTCAGGAGGCATAGGCTTAATATAAAATTCAAGATGACTGTCCCAAGGGAGCACAAGGAAAACAGAGTAGTACAATATATCACTGCTCGTTTGGTAGTCAGAATGTGGAAGGAATGAGACCTGCTCTTAGATGCTTAAACTAGGATCATACATAACCAAAATATGGACTTAATTACTTATCGTGAATTTCAAACATATCACAAGGAGGAATTATTTTAGAAATATTATACATACAGATTTATTCTTCCAACACGTCTTCTGTAGGGTGTTCTAGCAGATACAATGATAACAATGAACAAGTAAATAAGTGTGTGTTTGTGAGAGAGAAACAGGGGCATGAGTCAGCTTCCAGCCTGAACTTACCAACTGGACAAAGAACAACCAGCACAATACGTAAACATCCAGATATCAACTCCACAGCATAAAAGTTCTTACTATCATTCTTATCCTATAAGATCCCAATATACTTGCAAGAGGAAGCTGCATTACCAATATCATAGAGCTGATACTTTATTTCATGTCTGTGAATATTTATTTAACGTCTGTTAGTATACAGACATTGGATTCACAGGACATCACACTGCTACAAAACCCAAATGTTATCCTTTTCAGGTCATGGGAGTTCCTACTGAAATGAGAACCAGCCTCACCAGATAGGGGCTATTCAAGCGATCAGATAGAAGGCTTAGATGATTACATGTCATATTTGTTACTTGAGAAAGTATTCTCTTATTATTCAGACCAACATTTCTCAAGACTTTCCTTGGGACAGAACTTTTTGTGTGCTTTGGTTTGGTTTATTTAACATGCAAACATTGGATTTAGATCAATTCACAATGTATCAGTATTGGTTATGATTTTAGTAAATTTGGAAACATTATAAACAGTCCAATATATGCTAGTAGCACTGATACTGAAGCATGTTACATGCAGGTGTCACTGAACACAATCCTTGACAGAAGATTTTGCTGAAAATTTCTATTGGACAAACTCTTATGATCTATTCTACCTTTTTTAATGGGTCCTTATTAAAGGAATCCTTATTACACAAACTTTAGAACAGTTGGAAGTCTAGAAATGCAAGGGATACTGCTACCAGAGAGGGTTCATACAACTAACACGAGTTTTTGAGGCATCCATCTATGAAGAACATTCCTAAATGAAAAAGAGGAAACTAAAGATATACAGGAAATACCTACTCTCCTTCTATTTCTCACATACAAGTTTTTACCTGATGCTCAGCCATCTGGCTCTCTGGGCTTTTGGCTGGCTCCAAACTCTCATTTAATTTGATCTCCACGGTCTCCATTTTTGTGGATATAGACTGGAGTGTGTCCTGATATTTCTGTTGCCGCTCAAGAGCTTCATAAAGGGTGCGCTGCTTTTCACTGATCTGAGGAGGAATGGAGGGTATAAATTCTGACCTCTAATACAGGATTTCCTCTTTCTTCTTCTTTACAAATCCCTACATTCACAAGACTAAACCAAAAAACTTGCAACAAGTTTTCAAAGTTATAAGCTATAAAGCAAAAACATCCATATTAAAAATACCTAACTGTTCAACATCATCAGTCAAATTCTAAGTTTTGTGACTTAAAAAAGGACTTCAACAAGGAGGCACATTCTCATGCCTTATTTTAGATTTTATCCACTCAAACACATGGATGTGCACTATTTGTTAGATACATAGTTCTTAATACCCCATAATAAGAATTGTGACTCTGCACAGAATTAAAATTTATAGTATGTGAACAAAACTTTGACCATTTTCATACATCACTGAATAATTCTGCTGCGCTACTATGTAGAAATGTGTCAAGTTGATTCAGTATGTGGAGAAACTGGATTCTTGGGCCTTTTTTTTTATTTCCAAATCATCCAGCATGGGGATTTCCCTGTTAGATTATGGAATATAATCTGACAATAACCTGTATTTCTGAAGGCAACTATCAGGCTTAATTATTTTTTTCTTAATGGAGATCCATCCTCCACAGCCTTTAAAACAAAATAAAAAGACAATATCACAACTAACAATTCTCATTACGACCTGAAAAACAGTAGCTGCAGAGAAAAATAGTAGCTGAGCCAGTTTTTTGCATTTTATTCCTTACAAGTTAGCTGATTATTTTGAACTCTCTAGATGAAGACTTACCACATTTTTCAGTGTTTCCCAAGAACGCTGCAAATCATCTAATTTGGCACTAGCAGCTGATTCTAAACCTGGTTCATAAAACTCCTGGGTGGCTGAAGTGCTGGGTTGAATTTTAGAAGCTTCTGTCTGCAACTGTTCAGCAGATAAGGCTTGGTAATAAGCAATGTCCTACAAGCACGAAGCACATTATTGCAGTTTCAAAATTAAAGATACTGCTTAGTACCTCCCCACATACTGCCCCATTGCATACGTCCATTAAAATAAAACTCACAAAGACAAAAACACCAGGAAACCTGTAAGCCACACAGTAAATAAATATTTCATAGTCGTACATGGAGTGTGGTTTGAAGCTTCACTATGGTGAAGACTGTGGATACATCTTTATCATGTTTGTATTAGCTAGGAGGCTCAGGAGGCAAATGTGGACAGACATGGCAATGCTGGGAGGGGAGTGCTGCAAGTGGGGGTGTCATTCTAACATCATCCCAACTACACAAGAGGAAAACCCATCACAACAGACAGTGGGTTATGGTACTGTAGGTGGCAAAGAATATCACCTTAATGAACACCAGCACAGAGAAGGCAACAGAAGAACCAAAAAAAGAACATGCTGAAGGACTACTCAATAATGTAAGAGTATGAAGCACTAGCTTGTATTGTAAGCCTTCAATCAAATAGGCACTCTCAACTAAATTACAAGAGATAGTGGGAAAAGGGACCAAAAGTGCTAAGGAAGATGGTCAAACGTTCAAATTACCATTGAAAAATTCAGGGTGGAACTGTTTCTCACCAGAGCTTCTTCTATAAATAGGGTATGGGGATTTCTTCAACTATTGCAAGTGACAATGAAAAAGATCTACAGAAAATGTAAAATTACATTTTCATGTAAGAAACATGCACAGTATCTATACTTAAGTGAGGAAAGCAGACTTGATGATAAGGATTATTTAAAACTGAAACCATGTATGACAGTTACCACCACATCTATTTGGAAGGTGAAAAATGCTGCAACCTTCCTTCTTCTCACTTAGTAGCCCTGCTTAGTCAGCTGTGCTCCAGACCATGCAACACAGCAGCTGTTGTCCAATTTCCTCACTCATTTTGATATTATAAATTTCCATCCTGAAAACTTTAAGACACAGGTTTGCTGCTAGTGAAATCACTGAGATTTTCCACTGATTTCTGTTAGGTTGGACCAAACCTCCTTTCAGGCAGCTCTCAAAGTTATTACGGTATTTCCATAAAAAGTTGCTCAAATTCTACTGAAGAGTGTACTAGAAAAATCCACCGGGTGTCTAGGAGCCAACAGGGAATAGGTAACAGCTCAGCACAGCATTCAGTACTGCATTTTCAGAATTTTTACTCTGACCACAAGTGACCTTTCCATGCCACAGTGAAAAATTGCACCAGTGAAGGCAACTTCTTGTTCTGCTGTGTCTGCAGCTACTCTCCAGCCCCTAGCTAGTCCTTTCTCAAGGCCAGTAGAAAATCTGTGAGACTTCTTTAATCACGGTTTCCAGAATAAGGGGCTTGCTTTTACAGAGAGGGAAAAGCAATCCCTTTCCCTGTCTTTTCAACCACTTTCAGGAGCATGCAACATGGAAATTTCTTTTTGGCAAATGTTTCACATGATAGTAGTGTGGATCCAGATGTTCTTATAAAGTAACAGATTTTGTTGCTCCTATAAAGGCCCTCATATCTCATGCTTGCTTTTACAAAGAGTAGTCAATAAAGAGTACTCAAGATTTATTGTCAGGGACAAAGGGTATGATTAAATTTCAGAAGATACTTAACAAGGGCTGTTGCACTCTAGATGAGTTTTCCTAAGGAAAGAAGAATGATTAAGTAGGCTGTGTACAAGAAGACAGAAAGACGTTTAACAGTGACACAGTGCTGAAGACCTGAATCACAGGATCAGCTATGGCCTCCAAGGCTTTGTGGCAACACTTCAGCTTTTTCAATTCAATTGCTCTACATTGTGCATATGGAAAACATGCTTTTAAAAATGTGCTACATTTTAAAAAACTATATCTTTGGGTAAGTGTGAGAAGTTTTAGCCCCAAAGGATTCTTATTCAGTAATGCAGCACAGATGAAGTTTCTGATTTTGCCATACATCAAAATAAAACTCATTGAAGGACTATTATCTATTGCTGAAATGTTATATACTATGAAATTCCTCAGCCTTTTCAAAGTCAACATTGTTGTAGTTCTCCCCCACCTCCGTGTTTTTAGAGGAGTTCCAGTACAAAACCAACAACCTGGGCACCTGTTCATTTATAACATTGGTAGATCTGTCACTCTCTTGTGTTTATGGTCTTGTGTTAATCTATTTCAATACACAGAACCAGTGTTTCCACTAATACACAGCTGGCACTTGTTTTATGCTTTCATTACTTGTTAGTAATGTAAAAATACTGCGTAGATGTCTGAATTCAGACGAGCTACATTTCTCCATTACGAGATGCTAGGAAATCTTGATGAATTACTGTATAGTTATTATTAAGGTTAAATTTAAAAATACTCTTAGCATCCAACCTTCCCTTCCCTAACCTGCACTTCAAAAGAGCTTTTTTATTTTTTTTTCCCCCAAGGACTAAATAAATGCCATTCTTTACTTTCCAGAGCTCCTGTTCCCATATTTTTTCTGGTACTTTGCAGGTGATCTTTCTGTGAGGAATTATTTAACACTGGCTGTTTTTTCAAATAAAACATTTCCAAATGGATTTTGCTGAGTCTTACTGAATATAAAATATTTTAAAATTACATTTAAGATCCTAATTCACTAATCTCTAGAAATTTTTTTTTTTTTAAACCAACCTTCTTTCCTGAAGTCTCCCTGGGTGTTCATCATGATCAGCACTGGCAGCTTCATAAGTTCTTTAGTTTTAGTCTCATGTGAGTGTGAACCTAAGCATTTTGTAAGTAAACCACTGCAATTTGGCATGTTCTTCCGCTTATTGTTTAGTACATGCACTTCATTTCAACATTAACCACACTGAAGAAACCTTTATTTTTTAGGTTCTTACATTATTGTAACACTATCGATTTTTATCTCTTTCAAAGATCTTCTGATAAATGAAAGCCATCACCTTTTTGTTCAATTTTGCCCTAGTAAATCGCATGTTGGTGTCAGTTCATGGCAAAACAGCATCATCACTGAGTTTTCCTTATTTGAGTTACTGGAGTAACTAGCCTGGTTTTAAGTTACTGGAGTTGCTAGCCTGGTTCTACATTTTCAGAGGATTGTAATGAATTGACATTGTCTCATTTACTAGGAAGCAAACTGCTCTTGGTCCCTTAACTCATTGATTAATATTGTCATAAGAATTTTGTGCTGAAATATGTATCTGCCTTTCTACTGTAAGTGAATTTTACTGAAAAATTTCTGGTTATCTGAAATGACAGAACACTAGAAAAATCCTCTTATTAATTATATAACTTTTTTATTATACTGTTAAAGATTTTGTCACCATTTTTATTCTTACCTGAGCATTATTTATCTCAGTTCATGAAAATGAGCATTCTCTATTTAGCAACCTCTATAGCACCATATACATCTTTGAAATGAGTGGAAGAAAACAATGGGCATCTTGGTCTAACTTCGCTAATTCTTCTCAGTAATGTGACACAACACACTCTACCCTTCAAGTCTGCACTGGTCAATTTTGGACCTAGTCACAAATGCAAAACCAAACAAGCAAAAATCGCAGACGGTGGTTCAGTGATTGCTTTTAAATCAATGCTAATGTACAATTGTTCCTATTAGAAGTGTAAGAATCCTTAGTTTTTGTTTGAAATCTAACTTCAGTGATTTCACTGATCTGCCTCATTAGAACTTGAAATAGACTCATTTCAAGTCATGGAAAGTATGGAATAAACAATACATGGGAAAAAAACCCAAACATAGAAGTTAATACTTGAAATGGTATTAAGTGGAAGCATTGTGATTTCAATGCTACAGTGCCAATGGTACAGTAAGATAATGGTATATGGAGATAATGCAATGATTTTATTATGGGGAGTACAAAATCACATTTTTTCTCAGGATGCAAGACTCCATTAATTATTACTGAGAAAACAAAGATATTATAAATTAAAAAAATAATAATCATACAGAAAAGCTTTTGACAGTCATTTTTTTTTTTTTTTTTTTTTAAATAGTGGCTAGCTGTTGTTTTGTTAATTTTAAACTCAGAAATCAATCTCTATATCCATTTTAAACTAGCACCTGAAGCTTTGGTTAGTTTAGAGGTTAAGCCCCAGTTTATTTGAGCTATAGGTAAACATTATTTCAGAGGATTAAATAAACCACCTGTGGAATGGAACCATGCATATCTGAGATAAAAGCTGAATGAATGCCAAGAGGGAGGTACCTGGTTAACAGAAGCATCTGTATTAGCCACAGGTGAGGGAGAGCGACAAGCAGGTGGAGAAGAAATCTCACTGTTGGTTCCCTCCTCCCCAGACTCCTCAGTGACAGGGGAGAGCAGCGTGTGACAGCGACCAGCAGTCATCTGTCACAGGAAAAGCAACCCCAGAGCACAGGAAGAACATCAGTTACCTCAACTTAGGTTTGACTTAGATTGAGAGCAAAACAAGGAAAACAACACATGGCCAGAAGTACCATGACATTATTTAGCTATACTTCATGCTCTTACATTTGCCACTCTAAAAACCTGGTTGAATTAATAGTCTCATTTATTTGTCATAGTTTAGGCTGAACATGCTCTCCTACACCCTAACAAATTTAAAAGAAAATGTATTCCAAGCAGCTCAATAATAGCAAATTAGAGTTTCCCTAAATGTCTTCTAATACAACCACAGTTCCATATGGCAATGCTATGGAGAGCTACAGAATAATACAGTATTGACCTCAGTATCCAGGCCCGATTAGTAGCAACATATTCCTCTTGCTTCCCTGATGCTGTCATGCACTGATAATTCCTAAAATCTGCACTCTATTTTCACTCAGAAAAGAATCCAAATAGCATCGGCAGTATGTTTTTAATGAGACCCAATTAGCAACAAGGCAGAGTAACTCAAACATAAGGCCTATTGCAGTAATTAGCCAGCTTTCAGTTCTAACACTCATCTGAGAATTTTGCAGCATACTGTCAATTACCACATCAGTATTTAAGACAAGGGCTTTAAAAATATGGTATGTAAACCCTATACACTGCAACGTGTTATGAAATAATATTTATTCTGGTTTTATCTTATTCCTGCAATTCAGTAGTTTATTAGTGCTTGTTCTTGCATGCTGACAACTACAAAAAGCCACTGCATTTGACTCTTACTACAGAAAACTTCCATTGTCATTTGTCTGTTAAATAACTTCACCCTTTATCAAGAAGTCTTGAAAACCCATATAAAGCAAAATACAGTAAGGGGAAGCTGCAGCTTGTTTGGCCGTTTCATAAGCAAAATGCAGATGTGAACTGTGGCAATGTGCTGTGCAGGAGTGTTGCAACGATGCAAAAGCAAACAGCTCAGATGAACAGTACCAAGACCAGTGCATTCCTTACCATAACCACCGAGGGGTGAGCAGGGTGTCCTGGGAGCAAGTCTGAATCCAGCTCCTCCATTCCCTCTGAAAGCCCCTCCACTTCTGTCACTGTCAGCAGCATGGTGGCATGTTTTGCTTTCATTGTCAGCATCTTGCACTTCGAATTCAAAGCAGCAATTTGCTCTTGGTATCCTTTGATCTTCTGAGCCAGCTCCTGAGGAAACAAGTTGGATTTTTTTTTCCCCTAACACAGAGGCAGCCAATAAATGCCAAAGCAGCATTTCAGCTTCCGTGGTGAAGGCAAGCTCTCCCCTTCAAGCCCAGCCAATAACATCATAGCACTGCCTCTCAGAAACCCTGCAAAAGCTGCAGAGCACCAGCTGACAAGCAGGATGTTGACAGTGGAGGGCACAAGTCAGGCTGCATGGCTAAACCGCAGAGCCGAGGGCTTTGAAGCAAACACAGAAAAGTGCCGTGAAAGGCGCTGGGTGCGCGGTAATCGCAGAGGCGAGGGAGGGACGCCGCATCCCCGCATCCAGCCCCAGCCTGACACCGAGTCTGTAAGCTTCAGACTGCAAAGGGGAATGTCTCTTCCTCTTCCTGTCCTATTTTTTTCCCTGTTCTACTTGCATTTATCTGAGGAAGATGAAGCTTCTCCGCATAATGCATGCCACGGAAATGAGGTCATGTGGTAACCACAACTGTAAAAAATGCTCCATTCAGCTCTCACCAGAAAGAATGAATTGTTCAAACAATTACTCACAGGGTCTAACAAGATCAAATGTGATAGGAACAATCAGTCACATAATAAGATCAAATAGAGACTGGATGGCTTTCTCCCAGTGTTTGGATAAGCTGTATTTTATTTTTGTTTTGTTTTTGTGAGAGCCTTCAGTTAAAGCTGCGCTGCACAGTGCTAACAGTTCCTCAAAAAAAGTTGGGGAATCTGGCCTAAAGCAGACTCTACTTTAAAATACTGGAGTTTATGACTATGAAATGGTCTAACTGCATGGCCAAACACCATTGTAAATTTAAGTTTAGTCACAGAGGAAAGATGGAAATGAATAGCCTTAGAAACTGACTTGTATTCTCTCCTGCACTGTACTACTGCACAATTCAGTGTCATTTTCATTCAGAACACTTATATAAGCTTGCCTACTAAATCAATGGTTATTCATTCAAATATATATTTCTGCTTTATTTTTACAACTGGTTTGATTTATTTGACAAAGTAGTTTTCAAGGAAAAATAGCAACAGAAGTTGCAAGATCTAGTAGACATAATAAATATTACAAAATATTTTAAGAAGTAAATGAGATTACTGTTTTAGGCTGGTAAAATTAAGAGGGTTTTTTTTTTGGTTGTATAAGACATCCAGGAAACCATTTCCTCAAAATCACAGTGCAGAACAGTCATAGTAAGAAATACAGAGTTAGAAATGGAAGCAGCACAAAGACTGAGGATGACCCTAACTGCCTGGGTTTTGGTGGTACCTGGTCACTGTCATGTCAGAAATAAGAGTAATTCTCTTGGAGCTCCAAGGCTTGCCTTGGAGACTAGCAGAGTCTTGAGTATAAAACATCAACTAGATCAACTGAGAAACAAGCTACAATGAAATCACGCCATAGCTGTAAAGTTCAGCAGCTAGAATAGTTACCTGCTCTGTTTGGCAAGTACTAGTCATGCACCAATGCTCAGTGAGTGACATCTCTGGGGCTCAGAAGGAATTTACTGTCATTTAATATACTCACTTAACTCCACCAATATTAATGAGATGACATAATATTTGTGGCATTAATGTCTAAGGCACTGAGTATCTAACATACCTCTCTCAAGTGAAAACAAAGAAAAGAAGGAGGCAAAAATGTGACTGTGAAAAAAAAAACAACTCATAAATACAATGTCCTATGAATTACTGTATTATCCATTAAAATAATTCACAAGCATGGAGATACTTCTTCATATTCTGATCAGAAAGTCTAGAGAAACATGGCTCAGTAAACATAGTTCCAGCATGAAACTAGCTACACATATGCATAGTAGTAGAAGCTTCCTACAAATCAAAGCAAACTTTTCTTCTTTTTTCATCTTACTTTAATACTAAATATAGCTACTACAAATGTCCCTAAGTTCTTGTTCATGCAGGCTTCAACAGGGAATCTAGTAAATGTTCTCTTAAATCAGTAACACACATAGAAAACATCTTGACAGACCTTTCTTTTGAAGTAATATAACACAGGGTTCAGTATATACCCTTTATGCTATGCTTTGCCACACTTATTTACCAGACAAGCCTGAGCCAAAAATATGCATATCTCAGTCTTTCAAAACTCCTTATCCCTAAATGTGGAAAGTTTGCAAGTATGAAACCTGTCCATTCTGATGGATCCCAACATGTGCAATAGAGTAAAACTGCTGTCTTCCTGCAGACATTTAAAAGGACTCACAGCTATTGAACTTGTTCAAATGCAGATGAAACTTCAAGCTGCCCTATTTTTAATTCCTTCCTCCATGCAGCATCATTCTTTCCTCCAGCAATATTACTTTGTGTCACTGAAGGCACTCGCTTGCATTTGCTGCTCCAGAACATTTGAATAGAGAATGGTAGCATTATTAATTCAATACTAAAAAGCCTTGTTTACGTGCTTGTCTAAGCAAACTTATAGTAAGTAACTTTTGTAACAACTTGATAGAAAATGAGCAACACATGCAAGGTTAGGTTATATTACATAATAGCAGAGAGCTTTAATTCAAAGATAAAGAAATGGTGCCATCTGGTGCCGAAAGTGACACACAGCCATCAATGGTGTGCTTTCTAGCCCAAGAAAAACACAACAGACAGGGGAAGGGGAAAGAGGTTCAGGAGCTCTCATGCCAGCACAGCAAGAAGGCTGCATAGAAACTATCCCGACTCATTCAGGGCTGACAATCAGTGAGTTGAGGGCAGGACCTGTAACTCCACAGACAAAACTCTTCCCACAATTGACTGTAAAAGAAGCCTTTGGAGTGAACATTGCAGAGTCTTCCTTCAAATCTACTGTGGTTTTCCTGTGATTCATATCCCTTGTTGTTCTTCTACAATATGTAACTGGCATGGAAATGAGTAAGTACTTTAGGATGTACGCATATATGTGGAGCGCTGAAATAGCAGTGATCACCTAACTGCTCAACACTGACTTCTGTGACACTCGTCAGTCACGTACTACTTTAACTGCCCCTTCATTACACAATGCTTTTGTTTGTCATAATGTTGCCTGAAGATTGGGAGACATCTAACTGAATAAACAAATGGACACTCCTCGCTGTACCAACAGCATGAATTTCCTAGCTGGTATTAAGACTATCTGCTGAATTAAGTTTGAGCAAGTCTGAAAAGTTACTCAGCTAATTTGTGACCCTTGCGTATGAAAAGTTTTCTGGATCAATGGACTACCATTGACCCCACATTGTTGCATTTTGGCTTTCCTACCTCATGACGTGAAATCTGGACCTGGAGTTCCCGGATGTTGCTGGTTGCTATTGGCTTGTCTTGGATCTCACAATGGGCACTCTCTATCATTTGCTGTAAAAGTTTCATTTCCTGCTCATATTGCTCGTATTGAACCACTGCTTCCTAGAGAAGAAGCAAAAAATACTGAGGATCTACATGAAAATAAATATTTACTTAATCCAAGCATGAGTGATACGCATTCTGAAGTGGAGGACCAATCTGGCACTTCCATCTGGACGAGCAAAGCAATAAAATAGTCAGGAAAAAGCATGCTCAGCAGTACTGTGAGCTGCAATTAATTCAATGGTTTCATCCATTTAATTATTTCCAAAAAACAGTTAACATAACATGATGTTAGATATCCAATATAGGGATTTAGAACTTCCACTTCCAACAAGTACCTGCACCAAACATATCCACCAGAAGATAGCATCGCCTAGTCTTAGGCTTTTGCTATAAAGCATCTGCTTTCCATTTCCTAAAGGAGGCTTCAAGTGAAAAAGACTACGAAAAGTTAGATTTTACAGAAAATACAAGTGATCATGAAGATTGATTCAAATCACTATCCTACCAGTGTACTAATAATTCCTTCTATTCTAGATTCACCAGCAGTTTGTCCAAACGGTTTTTAAAACTTTTCAGTGTGACATTTTATCTTTCCTTGTACTTATGTATACTTAATGATCAAAAGTCTCTTCTCTGATGTAACTTGAAGCTCTGTAGTTGTATCCTAGTTCACTATGAATTTTTCTATTGCTAAATAGCAGGAAAGAAAAGGTTACTCTCTTCTTCTTTGGAAATACCTTTTACATATTTGATTATGAATTCAAACAGCCAAACAAAACATTTTTTCTTGTATTTAGCAAAGCTTGAAAACGCATATTTAACAGATGCTAAATGACTCCAAAATCAGAAAGCAAACATAAAAAACTTAAGAGAAAAAAAAAAATCATTATTTTTATCCTAGAAGGCTGTTTAATTAACCTAATAGCTTTTATGCAATCTTTTAAGCAGTTGATGTTATAATGATGTATTAATTTCATTGACTGATCATATATATTATAACATTAACCTGCATATAATTGTATATTAGCTATTTGTCTAGTTAATCCTAACAGCATCACAAAAAACCTGGCAAGATCAAGGACAGAACAGAGATGAGAGTCTGATGAGTAAATCAACGATTAATATGATCATGAGTGTTAAAATCCCCAGAAACGTGGAGTCAGAAATGACTGAAACATAGTGGGGAACTTCCTAATGGTACTACACGGAAAAGAGGAATGCACAGAGATGTGAAATCCTCTCTTTCCATCACAATTTGCATGGCACTGTTGAAATTACTGAGAGTAATTGATGGGCTGGAGTTCCACTTGCCTGCATGATGTTGCACTGCTGAATGGCCATGTGCTGCAGGCGGCTGGCCTCCTCCTGGAGCCGGAGGGCACTGTGGCACATGGGCAGGCCAGTGACCACCTCCTCAGGAATCCTCAGGGCACTCTGACAGACTTGCACAGCATGAACTTTTGGCTTTAGTGATTCCATTTCAGACAACAGATGCTAAAAACAAAGTGCCACAATAAGCCAGTTTTGCAGATCTCCCAGAGCATATCATGCAGCAAAAGAAAACTAATGATCAATTCACTCACTGAAACAAATAAATTTGATTACCTATTTCTGAAATTGAATATAAACAGCACACGCTTTGTCTGGAGTTGCTCATTCTGAAATGGGCGTTCATTTGAATAGTAGTTCAGCAAAAAGCCCATATAGTAGGTATAAATACTATTAATGAAAAACATGGTAGTACCTATTCCTAAGTGTTTAAGTACAAAAATACTTCTGTTAACATATTAAAAAATATGTTTACAAAATCCACAAATCAAAGTTGTAAAGGCGCCATTTATGTATATACATATTTTAATGTTAGAATCTGATTGCAACTCCCTGCTGAGACAAAGAAGAATATTTCAAAATCAGCAAATAAATCTAGTTGTGTTCACAATTTTCCTTTGAAAATACAAACCGTGGCCAAAAATGTTGCTTAAAATTCAAAAGGCAAACAGAAAGAAACACAGCTATGCAGAAATCTTTTCCTCTGAATAATCACATGCTGTATGCTTTTCTTAATAGTCCATTCATTATGTCCCTTCAAACTATCTGTTCATATGCATGAGAAGGGTCTAAGTGCAATGACTGGAGAATAGATTTGATTAGCATTCTTTTTATCTTCATTGGGGAGTTTAATGTATTCACAGGTTAAAAAAAAAACCAAAGTAAAAGACAAAGTTGATGAAAAGGACCTTAGCACATTAGAAAAATATTTTAAGTTGAATACATATAAATCAGCTATGTAAGATATGTATCAATCAAGGATAAAGAGACTGGTCTTCTCCCTTCCTCTATACCATATGCAGAAAAACAGCTAAGTAGGTCTGAAGTGCATACTGATGAGAGATTTGTAGTTTGCTCTTTATTGTTGTGCCTTCATGACATATGGTGCATAATCTAACCAGAGATTTGGTATAATGACCTATTCCTCAGACATCACTAGTGAAGCCTCTCCTCTGGCAGGCCCCATACTGCTGGCAAAGGGTGCCTTTATTGTGCAATTGGCATCCAGAGGTACACACTAGCCAGGTGCTCCCCAAGACCCCTACTCTGGTCTGGAGCAGGGGCTTCAGCCTCTTTCTGTGCAAAAGAAAGTCATACTGGGAGAGCTGCTAGAGGCAGAACAAAGAATACACATAAATAACAGCATCAGCTCCATATTTCTTTACTCTTATGTTGGATGCTGTGTTTCACTCACACTCCTCGATGCCATATTCTGAAATGTGACTGCAAGGCCCTAGAATAAAGACTGCGTATTTTAATCAAAATGTAAGGCTCTGCAAATTTACTTTTCATGCCTACGTTTTTCTGCAGATTTTGATGCTAAAGTGGACCTGTTGACATTTAATTTTCACTGGCAGACTAAGACAGTTAAATCTCTATATTAGCTTGTGGCAAGAAACCTTTCTTAAGCAGCTCAGAAAACTGTAACTTTAGTTATTTTTGTTGTTATGAGACTCAGACCAAAACCTACAAATTAACAAATCTCTATAGCAGGCCAAATGCAACACAGAAAGCAGCAATATCTTATCAAAGTAATTCAACTAAACATACAAGAATGTAATGGACTTAAGGAAAACTGAATTTTCTCTTAGCTTGCTGACTACTGGGGGAGCTAGCAACACACCATCTCATTGCATTTCTGTCTGTAAAATGGTGATAACAACTTGGACTGCCTTTTGAAGTACTTTAAGAACCTGTTGATGAAATCCACTGGATAAGAATTGAGCTTTATTATTATTAACAATATGAATTAAACTTGGATTGGAAGCACATTTCTCAAAATTGCATCAACGTAAGAAGAGATCTGTAAAGAATGATACTTCAGCCACTCCCTTCATGCAAATGATTTTTCCCATGCCAACCCTTATTCCCTTGTCAGTAGTTTGGGGCTAGACTCTGAAATGACCCACCTAAGAACCACCACATTCAGGCTCACCAACATTCATTATTCTTTGTGTGAGCTCATACTATTCAAGTGCTAACGTTGAGGACCTGGCCTTTTACCTGTCTGTGAGAAAGTTGCTCCTTCAAACTCAAATGTCCAAGCTCTGGAGAGGTCAGTGTGGCTTGGGCTTGCTCCAGAGCAGCCTGCAATGTTCTAAGCTCAACTTCAAATTTCTTCATGTCCTGTAACACAACACATTTGATTCAAGGATAAATAAGAGGAAAAAAAAAAAAAATCACTAGACATTTGTGTGGATTTTGTAGCTACATCCATTATATACAGTGCCAAAAACAATTCACAGTTTTAACAATGAACTTTAAAATATTGAATAGAAATAGCAGTCATATGACAGTCTAGAAAAAAAGGTCTCAAAGTTGAAGTTATTATTTTAAGTACTTCCTCAATCTCAAACACAGTATGTACTTCATAATTTCATAAAGTTCAAGGCTTAGAAAGGAACACAAGATGCCCTCTACTCAAATTCCTGTAATAAAAGACAGGACATAATTGTCTTATCTTTACACATTGTTCTCAAAGACCACTAGCAGTGGAGTGCCACTTATCTCTGCAGACGACATATTCCACTACTTCAGTACTCTTTTTTTTTTGTAGAAAGTTTTTTTTATGATAATCTGACATGAAGTTATCTTTTCTTGCAATGTCAGTCCTCTACTTACTAACCCATTAACAAGAGACATGAAGAACTAAGTATTTTTATTCTCTCTGAATATGTCACATTCAGGTTAAGGCTTTTGCATGTCTCTTTTCTACAAATTTATACACATATCACAATCATCACTATCCTCTGTTCTTTCTCCAGTGAGCCTGTATCTTTCAAGTATAAAATTGGACACAGCTGAAACCTCACTCGTGACCAATAGGTCAAACAAAAGGACTACTTCACATACCCTACAATTATATACTTTGTTTTCTGCATAGTGTTTGAACTTTTTACACCAATGTGACATTATTAATTCATTTTTCTATGAACCACATTGTTAAACTTAAGACTGTTCAACAGGGTGCAGCAAGCTGGTAGTTCCTTGTTCAGAGGAACACCTGCCTGGTTCTTCCTGTCTAAATGTAACCATTTGCCCCTCTCTCTGTTCAAGAGTTCTCTGTACATTTGGTACTATCTAAGCATCCCTAAACCACCATTCAACTAACTAGTGAAAATATTGAATAGTACCAGATCCGAGGGAGAACCCTGCAAAAATCCTGCTTGATATATCCCTCCTTTTGGGCTGTGAATCATTGATAATGACAAATCAGGTAAGTTTACACAGCTTTACATCTACCTATTGTATTTTCAACTAGATAAGTTATTAACCTTGCTAATAACAATACAATGTGAAACATTTTTAAAGGCAAGATACATGTCATATTGTACATTTATATACTAATCTATTACTTTCACATTATATTTGTCACTTTTGATTTGATTTTCTTTCTTCATTAATCTATGTTGGTTTCTATTCACCCCAATGTTTTCTTATAAGAATTTACAAATCGTTTATTCATTTGTTCCAGTATTTGTCTAAGAACTGCAGCTAATAAGTCTTACTTGTACTATGCTCACTTGTACACAAATCTCCTGTTTGTCCCATGAAAAGTAAAATAAAAGCCTTCAGTTCAAACTGTGGTTTACTGATTTGTGGTTTTGTAATGGGAAGATCTTCTTCAAAAACCCTCTGCTACAGTGGCTGGTGCAGCTGCAGCATTGGTGCTATATCCTATAAATGTTGTGAAATAAGAGCCAAATGTGGAGAAGGACCATTTTTAACTTCAGCTGCAAATGTCCTAACAATTGGTGATAGCCTGTTCTCTTAGTTGCCTTTAGGCATTTTCCTGTTTAGTAGTGTGCAACTATAGCATGTGACAGGAGAAGAACCCCTATAAACATACTAATTATTTCATTCCATTACCTCTTTTTTTTTTTTTTCCCTGAATTATTGTTTCTTTGTTTTAAAAAAAAAAAAAGAGGTAAAATTCCTTTCCCTGAAGGTAAGAGCAAGTAGAAAAGACTTCTGTTCTTTTCCCTGTGCCTCACACCAGGTTACCATGACCTCAGACATTGCATAGTTATAACACATTTATATTAAATATGAAATAATGTTAGAAATAGCAGGGACATGAAAAAGTACATTAATTCCTTGTAGACCCTGTAGAAGCAAGTCTTAGAATCCTGGTCTGGTCCAGTGTTGATCTGAACTAACACATAGAAGACTTTGGATACCTCCTAAGGGAAAAAATAAATTTAATGGCACGGCGTAAGTGCCAACACAGACACTTGGCAAGTATACAGGCATAGGTACTCGGTGCCATTTGAAACAGACCATGATCCTAAATACATCCATCTAGAATGGGTGGATATGACAGGAAGGGCACAAATCTTGTTCCCGTCTGGAACAGCACCTAAAGGCACTGTTTCAAACGGAGCAAGATATCTAACTTTAGACAACACAGTCTTGCCCTTTATAGACCGCAGATAACCTGCACTGCTAATAGTCTCAGATACATGATGTAGACACCTCTCAAGCTGTCAGCTAGCATTAGAAAAAACTGCTTTCATATACCTTGGCAGCATCTTGGAGACTTGGTAACCGCATTTTGATAACTTGCTGTAATTCCTCTGTCCGTCGCCCCAGTTCCAGCACTTGCTGTGACATTCCTTCAGTACAGTATACACTTGCCAGATACTCAATCCTCTCACTCATGGCCTCAAGATCACCATGAATCTCTCCAGACTCATCAAGCATAGTCTAGATGGAGATACAAAGAAACTGAATGTCAGAGTTGAGCTTCAGATTAAATATAATTTTAAATACGTTCCTCTTTTGCAAACTCTTCAATTTGTACACATCTGTAAGCATAAAATTAAATTCTATTGACTGCCTGTAGGGCTTAGGCAGTATGGTTAATTATGGGTGTATGCTGCAGTACTTCAGCTTTATAGAGACTGGGAAACAAAACAGTAAGTCTTGAAGCTTCAGCAGCTATAATTACCAACACATTAATTTTAATATTTTGCTGTACACATAATCTATGAGTAGGATTTGTTCTGGAAACCTGACATACCTGCCAGGAAGCAGCATAAAGAGCTTGGGTGCAATGCTATAGCAGGACATTAATCATTAATGCTGCCCTAAAAATGGTTATCAAAGTGTTCTGTGGGATGGCATTGGTCGAGACAATACCCTCATCAACTTTTAAAGCAGGGAAAAAGCTACAGCAAAAGAAAACCAGAAATGCTATTTCCCAGATACCCTCAGGATAAATTTTCTGTAGGTTCCTATTCAGAATAAGGCAGTAAGACACACTATATTGCCTCAGTGTAAGTGAATGCAGCTGACAACTAACTGAAGCATATATAAACACCACAATTAATGCAGTCTTATTTTGGTATTAGTGAAACATGATCATCTTATGAGGCTTTGATTTGTTTTATGTGGTCACATAACTCTGGGCAAGCTGGAACCTTATGAAACTGCTCCACACATCCCACTTACACATTCTACACACAGACACACAGCTGCACTGTTACAAGGACAGCAAATTTGAAACTCTGATTTGAGATGTTCAGAAAGCAACTGGAAGCTATTGCGTATCAGCCTGGGAACATTTGATGTGCATCTCATCAGATGAGAACAAAGGCTATTCCAATTTATTGTAAAGGAGGAAGAAAAAACAACCCCAAATGAAAATTGGTTACTTAAAATTTTAGAGGAATATTAGCTGCAGTGAGGTACTCAGCATGATAGAATCACAGTGTACAGGCACATTATTCAATCAAAAGCTACAATGAAGCCAATGTACTTGAGGAAACATGGAAATCAGCTTTGAATCACATAATTTTATTCAACAACACATCTTAATTTCAGTCTTTGAAACAGCTGTCCAAAACAAATTAATCATCTTTAAGATGGGGGAACAGTTAAAGAAAGCTAGCATTTTAAGACATTTTTTTCCCTGAAGAAAAGGAGGCAAAAAAGTTGTAGGAAATAAAAATTCATTGCTTAGATAATAACTTCTTTTATACACTGCCTTTTAAATTTCATAGCTTATATAATCACCTGGTAAGCTTTAAACTGATCACGAAGTTGCGAGGAAGAATTCCATGTTATACTACCATGCAGTAGGATATTTGCTTTCTCAATCCATTTCAATATGAATTCCAGCATCTCATTGTATTCTTCCAAGTGTGAAGCCGCCTGGATATAAAACAAAAATGCACTTAAGCCTAACATAATTCTGTACAGTTCCCTGAGAATGATAAAATTAATTTTATTTCATTTGCTGTTTTTAACCTGAGGATCATCTTAATAACTTTTCCTTGCTGTTGAATATAATTTAATTTCTTCTGCATTTATAGTGTTAAAAGTCAGCCTCCAGTAATAATCACCTATTTCAAGGCAAAAAAGGCATTATAAGAATGTAGGTCACACTGGGTGAGTGCATTGATGCTCAACCTTAGAGGTTGCATTTCCTGCACATATTTCAGCCTCATATGTAAGTTCCAGAATACTTTTTGTTCAGTTTGTAGCTCACTGTAGGTTTCCTTTAAGTTATTCCTTATTCTTCTTTGCCTTTTGTATGTCACCCCTCCCTAATCACATTTTTTTAAGACCTGCTTTGTCCATTCTGCCATATTTCCAAAAAGAGAATATTCACACTGATTAAGCTCTGCTTTCTGATTGATCCAATTTTAATTTAGCAAAGTAGTCTTTAGTTCAAATTTTCTTATCACTTAGTAGGAAGTATTTTACTGATTTTTATGCATTTGTCCAGTATGAAGGATGGATCAAGTCCTAGGTGACTGAACTGTATTTGAATGCAGTTTATCTGCCTATCATTTATGATAGGAAAGGGATATACTGGTGCTGAAAAAAAATACCTAATGATTAAATCCTGTCACCAAATACCTTTGACTGAACTATTACTTTGATAGTAACTTTCTCCCTCTTATTAAAAATATTTTTTTTCAGAGGAAACTGAGAAGAGTATCACAAAATAATATTTTTTAAGCCTTAGAGAAATTTCTTTATTCATGCAGAAAAGAAAACTCATAATTTATCAGATTATTTATGGCAGAACCACAGACAATTTCTTTGCTTTTAGCTAGACTTTTTTGGGTAACAGCAATGAGAAAAAAAAAAAAAACAAACAAAAAACAACAACATGAGAAAGTGTTTCAGGGAATGCTGAAATGTTGCATAAACCTTATACATTATCAAGGCCATTGTGTCTAGGCTTTCCTATTGAACCTAGAAATTACATTCACCCTATTGTGACTAGAGCAATTTTTGTTTGTTTGCTTTTTGGTTTTTTTTTTTGGTAATGTTCAAATATAAGTAACAATGATAACATGGAGGTCCTGAAAAGTACAATGAGATACTATTTCCTGGCATGCTACTGTTTGTGAGAGGGTCTAGAATCCTTTCAGGGAACCAGAGGAGCCCACCAGCAGATGATTCACAGAAGAGTACGTTAAAGCAGCATCACAGAATTATTCCACCTTCTTGATCTGACCAGTTTGTGACTGTCTTTGAGGTGTGATGCAAGCCCTGACTGATAATAGCCAGATGTGTCAAGGAATGCCCCTTCTTGCATAACCACAGGAAAACAAATGAGACTTTTCCATGCTCCTTCTGCTCCTGAAAGGAAAGAGCAGAGGAGATTTGAAATCACACCTGACTGAGCTTGGCTGCTCTGTACTCAGCCTGCCGTATGGTCTGTTGGTGCAACGCAGTGAGTTTCCCTATCCTGTTAGACAGCTGCTTAGCCAGTGTCACGTTCTGTTCTGCAAAGTCCTGGACTGATGCATCTAATTCCAACAGCTTTATATTGCAGCTGTCCAATTCTTCACCGAGGATCTAGACAGAAAAAAAAAAGAAAATCAATGATCCAGGAAGTTTTAACTTTCTGATTGACGATTTCTAGTCCAACTTGCAACTATAATAGCTTGTCCAAAGTCTCCATAGTTTGTTCCATTTTTATTCTGGTGGAAAACCAACAATGCCTGTCTAAACAGGAAAGCAAAAAAGCAGGATGTTTGGTCATCTCTTAAATTTGTGCCATTACTCTCCCTCTCTGACTTCCTGGCTGAAATGGATAATCATTTCCTTACCATAGTAAAAGAATGAGTCACTTCAGAGTGACATTAACTGTTCTTGGCCATATTTCCGTGTTTGTTTTTGAAATGAAGAGTCAGCATACATTGCCATGACATGGATTTTTGTTTCTTGGAAAGGGGGTTCTTTTTGTTTTTGTCTTAAAATAAGAGAAAAACGCTAAAACATTAAAATACTCTTACTAACTCAGAAATATGTAATTACTCATTAATGCATTATAAAAGCTTTCACTTTTATAGCTTGATCTCGACACCAGAGCAGTCTGGATCATGCTACACTGTTTCAACAGAAACAGATTTTAAAATCAATTTTTCTTACCATCAGTACAAAGTTTCTGAAAAGTTTAAAAAAGGAAACTTGAGAGGCTTTCCACATTTCTCATACAACTGATAGCACACTTATGGGCTACAGTTTCTTTGGGAGGGGGTATTTTGTTTCTTTTGTATTTGTTTTTACACATAAGGTGTTAATGAAAAACATTGAGTTTGTAACATAAATAAAATAAGTACCATTAAACACTCTAGACCCTTTCCAATTATTTTTAGAAATTTAAATTGCAATCATCAGACAAAATTTAATTCAGAACACTGCTCTAGCTACCTGTGCTTCAAGAAGTTACTTCAGGCTGTTCAGGTTAGGGCTGTCCTGGCAGACACACCTCTAAGTGTAAATTATGATCAATCTTTATGATAAAGAAAATTATTCCATGAATTTAGTGACATGTCTACATGTAGACATAAAGACAAACATTGAACTATATACATATTTCAGGCAGGCATAAATAAATGTCTCTACCATAGAAACAATGCAGAATTTATATGCTGTTTAAAAGCGAGGGAGGGATCTGTTTGACTTGGGTCACATGGATTTGAAACAGTATTTTAGTTTATTTTTCACTACCAGTTTCAGTGTTAATATAAAAATATTCACTGCTATAATCAAAACCAACCTGATCTCAGGAGTATCAGCTGAGCATTGACATAAATGCAGTTAAGGAAACCACATTTTACTGGCTTTCTGCTTAATTATTGGATTCAAGGAGATAAACCCAATTTAAAGGGATATTACAGAATCACACAGAATCACAGAATGTTAGAGGTTGGAAGGGACCTCCAGAGATCATCGAGTCCAACCCCTGCCAGAGCAGGACCATCTAGTCTGGGGCAGGTCACACAGGAACGCATCCAGATGGGTCTTAAAAGTCTCCAAGGTAGGAGACTCCACAATCTCCCTGGGGAGCCTGTTCCAGTGCTCTGGAACCCTTACAGTAAAGTTCTTCTTCATGTTGAGATGGAACTTCTTGTGCTCCAGCTTGTGACCATTGCCCCTTGTCCTGTCACAGGGTACATGTGAAAAGAGGTTGCCCCTTCCTTCCTGACACCCAGTCCTCATATATTATACACGTTAATTAGATCCCCCCTAAGTCTTCTCTTCTCCAGACTAAAAAGCCCCAGGTCTCTCAGCCTCTCCTCACAGGGCAGGCGTTCCAGTCCCCCAGTCATCCTCGTAGCCCTCCGCTGGACTCTCTTGAGTAGATCTCTGTCTCTCTTGAAACGGGGAGCCCAGAAACGGACACAATACTCCAGGTGAGGTCTCACCAGAGCAGAGTAGAGGGGGTGGATGACCTCCCTTAGTCTGCTGCATACACTGTTCTTGATGCACTCCAGGATACCATTGGTCTTCCTGGCCACAAGGGCACACTGCTGTCCCATGGACAGCTTGTTGTCCACAAGGACTCCAGCGTCCCTCTCCACAGAGCTGCTCTCTAGCAGATCGCCTCCTAACCTGTACTGATGCATTTTATTACTCATTACTGATATATTTCAGTGACACCTCCCACAAAGCAAACAGTGATTTGGAGCATATTGAGAGCAACTCATGAAAAATAAAAAGGTAATTTTTAACATACCAGATGTGCTAGATCTCCTATTTGTTATGCTTTTATTACTTTCAGACAGTAACTTGGTCAAGTTTATCTTTGACTGGTTAAAAAAAAAACAACAAGAATCAACCTCTGCTGTCAACCACCCTCTTCCCAAAAATCCCCTATTCTTATATGATAATCCTAACTTGGACATTACATCCCAGTATAGAGGAGCTTTTCTGGGTGTAGTACATAAATAAGATTAAGAAAATCTACAAGAAGAACCAAGAGTCCTTTGTGTTACCCTTAACCATACCAGGAGGACTTTACCTCACTACTGCACCAAGTGATAAGAGTTGGACTATCGGCTAAGTAAAATCCTATTTATTGCAAATAAAGGTATATTGTAAAAAAATGAGCTTTTTAGTACAGACTGGGATAAGGAGAAGTTTGGGAGCCTCTTAGGATTCCCCAGATGGCAGTGTCAGAAGTGGGATTCCAGGGCTC